TCTCACCAACCTGTCAGTAATTGACATAAAGCCACAAGACACTGATGATATACCTCTTCCACAGCTGCACCCACAACACCATCAATTTCCTGTTCATCCATTTTTCTGATACCTTCCTCCTTACAATATCGTCTAACGGATCTCTCTGAAAAACCTCTTCTATGAGGAAATAATTGCTGCAGTTTCTCGCTTATTTCTCTATAAGTTAATCCGTCTTTTCTCCACTTTCTCACAAGATCCACAACTCCCTCTCCGTCCATTATGACTTTGTGACCAGCTGACCAGTGACCACAGTCACCACTCACCACACGTATGCGCATGCGCAAATTACATAGCAGCAGGTCAGCACATGCTGTTTAGCAATCGGCGATCAAGCGTTCAGCGATAAAGAGGTTCTTCTTGAAAAGTCAAGCTTCTTGTTTGTGTTTAGTCTGCCTGACTAGTTTGCATCATGGTGTATACACTTTTCAATGAACATAGGAAAATCAAAGCAAAAGAGGAGCAGTTGAATACAAAAGATATTGGACATGTTTTTGGATTATATCCAGACAGCATATATCTGATATGTGAAGATGGCAGCTTGGAAACTCCATGCCGTGAGAGGGGAACTTTCTCTGATCTGAAGCAATATTACAAGTACGAGGTCAACGGAGTGCCGCTTAACACCGCGTCACCCGGCAAAAGCCAACTATCAACATATCAACATCTATCCCACTGACGGGGGCAGGACTTCCTTCAACATCAACATGTCCTGGTGCTAGTGTCACATCATTACTGACTGTGCGTCCTCGAGGAGTATCTTCCAAAACTAGATGGCCTGCAAGGCCTCCTGGGGTGAATTTTGCTAAAGAAGAATGGACGAAGAATGTAGAAGTTTGTAACTACAGTAAGTCCTTGGGTGGTCTCCGGAAATTTTCGAATTTTCCAATTACGCTGACAGAGAGTACCTCATCAATTGATCACGTTTCTCAGCAGCTCTCTGTGGAAGCATTTGGTGGTCAAAATGTCATACTTTTGGATAATGATAATTTAAAAATTCCTGATACGTCAGCTTCCAGAGGTATGCATAATTATTAACATGTATGTACACATGTGCGTTGCTCTTCTTTTACTTGAATAATTTTACTTCAATTTTCACTTTCATTATTTTTAATATAGGCACTAAATTTTGGAGATCAAACAAAAAGATCAAAGCAGTGACCGAGAAAGATTACAGTGAACTTCATGGTATCACTATCTCAGACAGTGATGACGACTTTGAGAGTTATACACATGGCTTGCTAAAAAAGGAAAAGCGGCATTATTCTCCAATTCATTTATCCAGTAGTGATGACGATAAGCCGTGTACATCCAAGGGCAAAGGATCGACAAAGATTGGTGGACGTGTTAAACTGATTGAAGATCGCTTAGCAAAGCTTGAAGGTGCTAATCCTCTTGAAGCAAGTGAGGGTAATTCTGAAGTAAATTATTGCGCTATGATAAGTGAAATTAAAGAGCTTTTTAAATGCTTCATCTGTAAATCTATTTTATGTCAAGAGCTCTCACTAATGCCATGCTGTCATCAGTTAGCTTGTTCAGGCTGTTTAGACCAATGGGCAGCTTCAAATACTTTAGAAGCAACTTGTCCATTATGTCGTGCTGTCTTTAGTGGCAACAGTCAGGGTTCAACACTTCCTAGAAGTCTTTTCATACTCCTTGATATTCTAAGGAAGACGGAGATGGAATTGCATTAACTACATCAAACTTACTCCCATTGTCTATTTAATTTCTCTATTTAATCTCTATTTTAATCTCTCCATTTTATGACCATTTAATCTCAAAAATATTTAACCCTTTAGTATTTAATTTTAACCCAATGAGTTGTTGGTTTAATGTCTGTTATTATAAATCATTTTCTCAAATCTTGATTTAATGTATGGATTAACAAACAGCTCCAGTTCAATCATTGTAAAAGGACCAGGCTGACACAAGTAGACGTACTAGTGAAGGATCAGGGGAAAAGACGGGCACACTGATGCTGCACAAGATTCCGGCCAGACTAATGTTTCAACTGACTGTTAACACATTATCTTACTGAAAAATATTCGACTCCGACAACTCGAGAATTGTTATAGTCGACCAGCGCGATACTAAGAACAGCCATCTTGTAATTTTTTGTTATACAATAAAAAATAAATTCAATAGAATAGAATTAATAATACTTGCATCACGTGACCTTCTTTATAAAAAAGCTTATTAGTATTAATACATTGAGTGGGCGTTCAACTGCTGTAGCTGCAAAATGCATAATTTGCTGACTCATCATAATTTGCAAATCTGAAATCTGTTTTCTTCTACAATGTTCATAAGGGTGCAGATCTTCAGTAACTTCTTAAAACCCTAAAGGAGGTATAAATTTACAATAAATAAAATCTGTACTGTAGCTGAAAGAATCAAATAAGGTAAATGAAAGACAAAGAATTTTCAATTTGGCCACTTTTATACACCGGTTATGCATTACCACAACAATGTCACAATCAACAGATGTAGGATTCATTAGTGGTTAGTTAATACATTTAGTGTATCTAATCTATTACACACACACAGTTGCTATTGCTGTACCTATCACTGGTCTATTAACTGGACTCATTACTGCAATAATTACTAGTATCATTGTATGTTTAATAATGAAAAAGAGAGGGACTACAAAACAAAATAAAACTCCAGTAGGAGGAGGAGGAGAAGCAGCAGTTATTGGTCCAATATATGATTTACCAACAATCAATACTGAACAACAAGAACAAATTATTGATACTAAACTTAACACTGCATATGGACAGACTGATAGATAAAATAGAAAATAAAAAGTCAGGAATCTCTATAGATCTATTTTTTATATTGTAATGTAGATCTATACCCATAAAATCTAGAAAAATATTTCATATCTCAGTATTACATTGACTGAGATTGTACTTCACTTAAACACTATGTAAATGCAATCCTGTGTGTATAATTTTGTCTTGCGTAACTACATGCTCATCATGTGCTTAATTGTTATGATAGACATGAGTAACCACACACTAGTAGTCCAGTAGGTGTAACTGTTCTTGGCACAGAGAAGAACAACAGCAACACTACTTGTGAGTTAAGTGAGTAGTTGCTTACTGTTTATGTGTCATAACAGTATTTCAGTTCTTATTTCTCTTATTGATACTAATGGCTACTACTGGTTTCTACTGGTGTCTTGTATTGACTAACTGTTTGAGTCTTGTTGCATCTTGTAAGTAGCTATTAATGTAGATTCTAAATTCAACTGTTGACATAATAAATAATATCATAGCTGTACTTCAATATAGTCAAACAGTTCCTAGTTCTGGTATTGTACCATGTCCTGGTGATAGAGTAGTACTTAACTGTACAACTGATGCTGGTCCTGGTAATGATGCTATTGTATTTTGGGGTATTAATAATGGTGGATCAGTTCTATTAAACAATGAAGTTAGAAATCGTTCGGAAAATGGTTTTAAATTACAAGTTACTATGATTAATGGTACTATCATGAGTAGTCTTGCTGTTACTGATGAACCAGTGAATGGAACTGTTGTTCACTGTAGAGGATTTAACACTATGCAAGTTGCTAGCTTACGCATTAATGTAACAGGTTAGAAGTATCAATCATTTCTTATTAATTATATTATTATTATTTACGTATAGGCCGACCAATAATACCAGTTAATAATACTACAGTTGAGCCACTTAACAATAGTACAATAATTCTTAATTGGACAGAACAACAATCATGTATAGAAAACTATAATGTTACTATTAATAGTAACAATACACATAATGAATTTAGGACTACTAACAACACTAATATAACTATTGACAGTCTTATTATTGGTACTAATTATTCATTTATTATTATTCCTATTGATACTATTGGAAGAGAAGGACCTCCTTCATCATTAATACAGTATACATGGAATGGTAAGAACTATACACACACACACACACACACACACTCATTGTATTTCTTATAGTACCAGCTCAAGTTGTTAATATTAGTTGGTATCAGATATCAACTGATAGTATTACAATATCGTGGAATAACAATGAAGTAAGTTAAAATAATAATGATAATTATAATGTGTATTGAACTAGAATTCTGATGTACTAGTTCTTCCTACTCAGTATTACATTATTAATGTGTACACTACATCAAACAGTATCATATACACTAATAATACTAATAATACTAACATTACTATTACTGGACTACCTCTTACTGATATTAGCTACACTGTCACTATCATACCAGTTAATGTTATTGGATATGGACCATCAGCCACTGTTAATGGTATAACATCATTACTGTACAATATTGTTTCATTTCTTTACTCTTAGTCAGTACAACTGCCAGCAGCTTATTGATATCTTCAAGTTAGCATATGAAATCATAATAATACATTACTGTGCATTTCCTTTACAGTTAGTATAATTACTACAATATATGTATAGCATAATGATGAATACTATTACTACTACTGAGTACATCACATTACATACTACCATGCAGTTTAGTATTAATTTCATCCACAAAAACACAATCAGCAGTTTAATGTAAGCAAACATAATAGAACATAAAATATTGTGAAGTAATTCATTTGACAGCATGTGGCATATGGAATGTCTAATCCAAAATTAGTGATCAGCAGATATAAGTCAAATATATATTTACTTTAATTAGGTTGTACTACTGAGTATATCACAATACAAGATAAGAGTTTAGCTGTGACAACAATCACTGTAACTGAATCAATCAATGATTGTAGTATTGACAGTAAGTTATAATAATCAGGACATACAGTGAGTATATTGTTCATTAGGTTATTCTTCATGCATTACCACAACAATGTCACAATCAACAGATGTAGGATCCATTAGTGGTTAGTTAATACATTAAGTGTATCTAATCTATTACACACACACACACACAGTTGCTATTGCTGTACCTATCACTGGTCTATTAACTGGACTCATTACTGCAATAATTACTAGTATCATTGTATGTTTAATAATGAAAAAGAGAGGGACTACAATACAAAATAAAACTCCAGTAGGAGGAGGAGGAGGAGAAGCAGCAGTTATTGGTCCAATATATGATTTACCAACAATCAATACTGAACAACAAGAACAAATCATTGATACTAAACTTAACACTGCATATGGACAAACTAATATATAATATGCGACAGTCTTATTTGCATGTTTAAAATAACAATACAAGTTATAATTCTCTAACAATGCAGTGCATTCACATCTGTTATGATAAACTTTTATAAACACAGTGTTTAAGATTAGTACATGTGACCTTAGGCAGAATGCCAAGTATCATAAACAATGTCTAACTGCTTTATAAATTATAGTTTTTGTTTCAATTTTTATTTCTCTTGTTGGCATCAATGGCCACTGCTGGTGTTTACTGGTGTCTTGTATTGGCTGGACTTACTGCTCAACTATCACTAGCTGCAGTTTTGGATCAAACCTCTCCACTTTATTCACCAGCGTGTCCTGGAGATAGGTTGGAATTTACTTGTATAAGTAATGGGGTTGCACATTGGAGATTACTCGATACTTATGACATATTACTTGATACGATTGGCACTACTGTTACTGTTGATGGTTTTACTTTTATGCTGAACATTACTGCTATCAATGTATATGGTCGTACCATTACAAGCACTTGCATACATGAATCAGTAACGGAGTCATTGGATGGATATGAAGTCGAGTGTTTCAGCTTCTCAAACACTGAATCTGAGACACTAAACATTAGTGTCACAGGTTTGATTCATTATTACATTATTTATGAGATTTATAGTTTATATTTTATATAGATCCAGTAGTTGCTGTGGGTAATATAACCATCGATCCAATTAATAATAGTACAATGACTATCAGTTGGTTGTATGAGAATCAGGAAAATGAGCACTGTATAGATTACTATTGTGTTTTTGTTAATGGTTCTATTAAATACTCTACAAATGACACTGATATAACTATTGATACTCTTATTATTGGTACTAACTATTCATTTATTATTATTCCTATTGATACTATTGGAAGAGAAGGACCTCCTTCATCATTAATACAGTATATATGGAATGGTAAGTACTATACACACACACACACTCATTGTATTTCTTATAGTACCAGCTCAAGTTGTTGATATTAGTTGGTATCAGATATCAACTGATAGTATTACAATATGGTGGAATAACAATCAAGTAAGTTATTAAATAGATATATAAACATTTTCTATTTGTGATAGGAGGACACATTGCACTATCCTCCAGTACAATATGTTTTATCTGTAAATGGTGATAACACTATCAGTACAAATGATACTAAATTTAATATAACTGGACTGCCACATAGAATTGGACAGTACACTATTTCTATTGTGCCTGTTAATATTATTGGGTATGGACCACCAGCCACTGTCAATGGTTAGTTTATGCATCATAACTATTTGCTATATCATTCATTATAGTAGTAACATAATGAGTAGCTCTTCACTTTCAGTAATAATGTAATGCATGCAATGTTTACTTTTAGTATGATGTAATGCAATGTAATGTTCTTCACTGTTTATCAGTAAATGTATATTCATATTAGTATCAATAAACTTTATTGTATTGTCAATAACACTGTTCTGTTATCTACAGTTGCAATCACAAGTACACCAATAGCTACACCTACTGCAGCTACACCTACTGCAGCAACGCCAAGCACTAAAAATACTGGTATAAGTATTGTTCCCATTATATCAGGAGCTATTGGTGGCACAGCAGTATTAATAATAATAATCATTATTATTATCATTGTACTATCAGTGAAAAAGATGAAGCAAAAAAGTAAGAATTAATAACTTTGTAATGTATTGATATTTACTTATCTTTATAGGAAACAATGAAGCATCTATGAAGTAAATATCATTACATTAAACATTGAAGTGATTATTATCATTATTATTATCACACAGGTACAATACTGGTGCAGCTAATCCTTCTGTTGTTGATAAACCAGCTCCAATATATGATACACCAATAAAAATGAATGATATCAATGTACACACTAATACTGCTTATGGTAGACCAACAGTTCAACGATACAATTAATTGATACACACACTAATGCTGCATATGGATAAATAATGACGTAGTGAAATAATGTTTGATGTGAACTATTATTATATTCATACTTATTGATATTAATTGCATTTTATTTATTTTTGATGTCATGTGTATTTTTAAGATAATATACTGACAGGAGCTATGCATGGATGGACTTGATCAATAATCAAGCACATATTATGTGCAATAAGGAAGAATAACAACAATATGTTGTCTCAATGAATTAAGTAAAACAATGGACAATAGCTTATTGCTTATATATTCTAATGGCATAAACCCACTTCAATGCTCATCTCTCTTATTGATATACTAATGGCTACTACTGGTATCTACTGGTGTCTTGTATTGACTGAATGTTTGAGTCTTGCCATATGTACCCACAGAAGTGAGCTAATAATTATTGTACTGGACTATTATTAAACTGTGCAGCATCATATCATCACTGATTTAAACTATTCCACAATATAGCTGCTTATATTATGCTGAAAAAGCTATAGTGCAACATAATTTGCTAGATCAATTCATTTTTAGATATACTGTATGCACATATACACACACGCACTCATTGTATTTTCTTATAGTACCAGCTCAGGTTGTTAATATTAGTTGGTATCAGATATCAAATGATAGTATTACAATATGGTGGAATAACAATCAAGTAAGTTAAAATGCTAATAATAATAATTTTAATATAAAATAGGAATCACATCCTCCTACTCAGTATTACATTATTACTGTAAACAGTACATCAGACGATATTATATATGATGAAGACACAAATGACACTAATATTACTATTACTGGACTGTCTCCTATTAATGAATACTACACTGTTACTATCATACCTGTTAATGCTATTGGATATGGACCATCAGTCACTGTTAATGGTTAGTTCAGTAGCACACATGCTATATTGATCTTATTGCTACATAGTCAGCATAGAATCTATAGTGGCAAGCAGTTCAGTAACATCTACTAGTGTTTCATCAGGTCTGCATAGTTAATTCATTATCATTATAATTTGCATTCTATTAGTTACATCTACTTATATACATGTATATACCAGTACATCATTAGTATACATGTATGTATCATCTGCTTTAAGTAAGAAGTAATTTTACTCCTGATTATTTATAATTACACTTACAGTATCTTCTACACCATCCATAACAACGAGTACTATGACTACTACTAAGTACATCACATTACATACTACCAGTTCAGGATTAATTGTATCCACAAAAACACAATCAGCAGTTGAAAGTAAGCGACCGAATGTACTGTGTTTTGTGGACATAAAATACTGTGAAGCAATTCATGTAGCATACAAATTTTAATAGAATTTTATCCAAAATTATAGCAATCGGCAGAAATTATTATTCACAAAATAAGCACTACTCATGAGTATTAAATTTAGATAAGTCAAAATATATATTTACTTTTATAAGGTTATGCTACTGAGTATATCACAACACAAGATAAGAGTTTAGCTGTGACAACAATCACCGTAACTGAAACAATCAGTAGTTATGCTGACAGTACGTTATAATAATCAGTACATACATACAGTGAACATATTATTCATTAGGTTGTTCTTCATGTATTACCACAACAATGTTACAATCAACAGATGTAGGATCCATTAGTGGTTAGTTAATACATTAAGTGTATCTAATCTATTACACACACACACACACACACACACACAGTTGCTATTGCTGTACCTATCACTGGTCTATTAGCTGGACTCATTACTGCAATAATTACTAGTATCATTGTATGTTTAGTAATGAAAAAGGGAGGGACTACAATACAAAATAAAACTCCAGTAGGAGGAGGAGGAGAAGCAGCAGTTATTGGTCCAATATATGATTTACCAACAATCAATACTGAACAACAAGAACAAATCATTGATACTGAACTTAACACTGCATATGGACAAATAAACATGTAGATTTTTTGCTGCAGTAGTTTAAAAATATTTAAAGCATTTGTACTAGACATTAAAAAGTTCATGTAAAAGCTCACACTATACAAACAACAAACTTAATAAAATATGATTGTAGAGAAAGAAAGTGAGAGAGAAATTACAATTAAACTAAACTCTAAAAATAACTAGTCATAAAGAATCCTCCAAATCTTCTAATTCCTTCCTCAATTTACTTCCATCAGCTGTATCAAGACTCGAGACTGTTTCTATATCAATATAATTAGTAGAGACAGTATTTGAATCACGGCAACTTTCACTATTATAAGAATCACTGAGCATTTTCAATTCAGCTGAGTCCCTCATCTGTGGTAATTTTCTGCAGAGTTTCTTTCTAGCCAGACCAATTAAAAGGCAGATAATGATAAAGATGGGAAGGTAGACCAGAAACAATTGAATGTAACCTAATACAATCATGGTTTTATCTTGAGAGTATGTATCTGATTGAACAAACCGTGCTAGTGCCAAAGTATTGATTATACCCATCAGTAGGAACAGGCAGCTATCAATGTTGTTGTGAAGCTTATTCTTGTACGGCTCGAACTTTAAATGAATTGCTAGCATTATCATAAGAACAACTTGAGCAATGGAAAGCGAAGCCAGTGGTACACTAATGAGTGAAAATACACTGACAAATATAACACGATAGAGAAAATACAATCCAGCAAAGAAGCGATATTTATCCTCAAAGCAACCTTGAAAGGCATCGAAAATTGGCTTCAACATCTCCACTTTTCTAAACAAAGTTGCTGTCACTTTATTTCTCTGAGGCAATACCTTGTAAAATACAGGATAAGCAATAAGACACAATGGAGTAACAATGACAATTGTTAAAATTCCTATTATTGCAGCAATAGCAAATGGTATATGAACACCAGTGAAGTATGCTTGACTTCCCATCTGTTGCACACGCAATGGGGATATTATGCTGCTCCCTTTATTTGTTAGGAAACCTATTTCCATTATCTTGAAGCATATTTGGGTTGTCTGTGAGTAACAGAGTATGAGAAATGTTGTCAGAGCTTTTGTTAGGGTTGTTGGCTTGAAAAATGGTCTCTTGCAACAGGTAGTCTGCAACCTGTAGAAATAGTTGGACTTCATTACAGATACAAGAGTTATGACTAAGAGAAAAGCAAAAATAAGGGAGAATATTTCAATCCCCATAATAGCAAAAAAGTTTGCATTTTTAAAGAGACAAAAAGAGAGGCTGTCATTGTTGAAGAAATGTAACGAGAACAGGCCGTAAATTAGCGCTGATATTATATGGAGAGCTCTCTCAGAGGATGATACATAGGAGATGCTGCTAAATGTTGCTGTAAAATATCCCACAATCTGGGAAAAGAAGACAAACCCATTCCATATCCCAGAGTTAAAGTTTACCCCAAGCATCACAATGATTGTAAACATTAGGGTCAGTGGTATAATACTTGTTAGTATATAAAAGAGTGGCCCATAGGAGCAAAGCTCATTATTGCCACACTTGTATCCTGGGGAGTTGTAATACACAGAGTTGTTCTCCATACAATCACCACATAAAATCCCAGTACGATTACTACCACCGCATATCAGTGAATCTAATTCAGAGAATGATGGGACAGAGGGTAAGACATGAAATGTTAGATTGTAATTGCAGTATCCTTGTGGACAGAGTCCTGTGAATAAAGTGTCCTCTGATTCATTACCAATATATCCAACCCAAAACAAAGAGCTAAGAGAAGCTACAAATTCCCTATTATCACAGCGTACGATACCATAGTAGTGATCACTGTCATAATCAGCAGAGCAAACACAGGTATTGTTTTTGTTAATGAAGCCAGGAGGACAGGCAGACATCGTAATGTCAATTCCAACCGTCAAATTACGAAAATAAAGTGTACCTATTTCAAGATGGCCTGTATCATTAGGTTGTCCTCTCATTCGAAACCTGTTGAGGGCAGTATACGTGTTAGTGAGGTAAAGGGAGTCATTGTTAGTTGTTAATATACCAAACAATGGTTCCATTGATTGGTGCCCCAACTCATCACGAGTAACAAACGGGATCGTAAAACCTTTACCAGGTACAATCTTCTTTACTCCCACTTCATGCAATTGATCGAATTCACTAGTCTCCGTTGCTACATTCCCTTGCACTGTTCCATTGTGATCGGCAAAAATGAAGTTACCAACACACTCTCCAGTTAAGAGCCTCTCTGGTGGTATATAAGTTAAGTAAACCTTTGAGCTTTGGCATAACGTATTGCAAGGGAGCAGTGAAGACACATACATTGACATACCAAATGAGTCAGTGTTGTTTCTAAAGTAAAAAGTTATTGTTTCCCTTGCACCCGTAATATGCTCCACAAAACATGATGCCCCAATTAAAAGCGATGATATAATGTCAGTAGAGTAAAAGTATATTGCCCCTCCTTTAACAGATGCTTTATTATTGAGGAACATAAATGATGTGTTACTGCTAGCGTATATTGATGCAAACCCGTTAATGGACAATGCACCACCATATGTCCCTGTATTGTTAGAAAAAATGATTAAAGCGTCTTTTGATGCTATGAAATTACTATCAATGAGATAAACAGCAGTGCCGTTGTTCTTACTGAATGTAATGAGTCCAGATAATGTGAAAGATATTGCTTTGGAGTTCATTGCACCAGTCCCTATGCTTGAAATACCAGCACCAGATGATGAACTCCCAGTTCTATTGAATGTAATGTAGTTATTAGTGAAGTTACAGTTCACAAAATGAGGCACTGGGAATATGGTATTTGCAGGTGATTTGTTAAATATGGGCTCAAGATAAATGGCAGAGCCATACGTTGCTTTGTTCTCCTTCCATACTGTATCCCGAAACTCTATAGTATTGCTGGGATCAACCTGACTAGCAGAAGTGACAAAAAATACAGCTCCACCGCCAAAGTATGCTCTGTTGCTGCTAATGTTGCAAGACTGGACAATGATGCTATTAAATTCATTTACAGCTGGTTTTCTGAACTTGAAACCAATATCCAAGCCACCACCACCCAGCGATGCATTGTTATCAAAAAGTGTGACATTATTTACTCTTATGCTGTTATTAGTGGAGCTCTCTCTGCAAACAATGAAAAGGCCACCACCATATACTCCAGTATTGCTGATAAAGTTAGAGTTTTCAATATTTACTGTGTTATTGTGTGCAAATCCCGAGAGAAATACAATCAATCCCCCACTTGGAAAAAATGACTTGTCAAATACATTTGCATTCACAGCAACAGAATTGAAGGTAAAACTGCAATCATGTACAATAAATGAGCCATTACTACTATATATGCCAGAATGAACATTACAGTTATCCTCTTGGATATTACAATGAAGCGTCAGTTCATAATAGATTCCCCCTCCACTGTATTGAACTTGGCTATCATTTGATGGACCCAGGAATCCAGGAGTGTTGTTAGAAAAACATGAATGGAATATTTCAACTTTGCCATTGCAGTCGAACAATGTTAAACCAGTACCAGTACTGTTGCTAATTATTACATTGTGTATTTGCAAATTAGTACATTTATTGATAAAAATGGCAGCAGAAATATTATACGTAGTGTTATAATCATAGCTAAGTCTAGTCTTCTGATGCAATGCACCACAATTAATGATAGAGAGCCCTGATATCTTTAAATTTGAAACATTAATGAATCTAAGACCATATTTAACAAATTGTTGATTGCAGAAAATGTTAGTTTCATTGCCAGATAACGTAAGGCCAGACACATTCATAAACTGGATGATTGATTCTAGTGTCTCATTTTTATTGAGGAGTAGTAGAACTGTATCATCACTCACTTCTTGAGCACCAGAGCTGAGATCTTTTGCCATCAAGGTACAGTTGTGACGAATCAATACATCACTGCTGTTACTCTTGTGAACACAAATGATTTTTTGTAGGGGAGAGGCAGAAAGGACAAAGGAAAGCTGAAATACAAACAGCAGTAGACCAGCACTAGCCAACATTGTGACAGCATCAAGAGCAATGTCACACTACTATCTATGGCAATATTGAAACAAAAAATGCAATGCAACTTATACAATGCTTACAATGCTTATAGGTATGGGTAAAACTAACTACAGTGTGTGTACAATAACACTCACGCAGTTGCAATACCAATAAATATCTCAAATACTTTTCGATCCTCCTGTTTACTGCTTATGATGTCTTCATTAATCTATGAAATAGTGTTGGTTAAGTAACAGGATTTGATAAATAAATGGTAATTACCAATATTTCTTGGGAAAAATGTTCCACAAAAATCACCTTTCAACCTATTCACAAGAAAAATTTTTGTATTTTTTTCTACTGACCGCTATATTAGCATGATAAAAAATAATTTTCATAATTTTTTTAAAATCACAAAATTAGCAAAATTAAATCCCCGCAAAATATATCTCCTATACGGTAGTTCAGAAAATATTCATCCAAATTTTATAATAGCTATTGTTACTGTTTTTTAAATTTGATACCCCTATAAATATTTTGAGTCAAATTTTGATTATTTACAATTTTTTGGGAGAAGAGAAAAAAGAGAAAAGGGAGTGAAACAAGCTGATAAAAATATTGATTTTTTTTGAACAAGTAGAGCCAGATCCAGGGTATTTTGTCAAAAACTACTAAGAGGGATTATTACGTTTTTGATGTCTTTATGCTATGTAGAAAGTTTGAGCTGATTCCAACTAAAACTTTTTGATTTATATATATGACCATTTTCTTAAATATGCCAAATTCTGTACACTGTGCTATAATAGCCCATGCTTTTCTGAAAATGGCTTCAAAATCACTCTCAACTTTTAGATGCATATTAATTTCCTTATGCTGTCTATATCAATCAATTCAGAAGCTTGTGTACCCAAATACACACAGGTGGAGTACACAAATTCCTTATCACTCCCCTACAACAAGCAAAAGCATACCAATGATACAATCACTAATAGAGGATCACACAAACAGGTATAACTTTGATGTGGAATTATAATTTAAACAAGGAAAGAGTAGGATGGCAAAAGCAATGCAAGGTATTGGATACTATAGCTAGGAGAGGAGTGAAACAAAGCAGTGAGGAGAATGACTTCTTACAATACTTATTTGGTAACTGCATTTATTCTACCAGATCTAGTAGCAATCATTACAACAATTGCTGTAGGGGTAGCAGGCTCTTGTATTCTTAATCCAGGTAAGCTGGTCCGAATCATGTTCCCTTATATATTGGAGAATGGTGACAATACTGTGGCATTTGGCTTCATACTAACAAAGCATGACATACGCATATTGTTCTGGTCTATAATGCTTCCTGTGGTCTTCATCACTATGCTGATATTTAGCTCAGTTTTTACTGAGTACACATATG